TACTCGCCAAAAGCTGTTGAAACATTAATACAAGGACAATGTTACGGATATTGTTTTCTTTACTTTGGGTTAAATATATTCTCTTTTGGTTTTATCGATGCGTTAGATTCGAAGGAAAATAATAAATACGCTAAAAAAGGTATTACGTCAGCCATGGAATGCACTGATGTTGCAGCTTTCATTTTCTCTACGGGACAAATAAAATTGTGTTTACTTTGCAAGTTTATTTCGGCAGAAGCGACGGTCATTAATTTATTTGCAACTTTTTGAGCATTCCTTGTGGTTTTAGGCGAATGAGGTAAATTCTTTGGCTGTGTCATCGCAGCGAGGTCGGTGATCAGAAGGAAAATTAAATATTTGCAAGCCAAGCAAAGAACATGTCAGAACATGCAAGGATTACGTCATTGGTAGGGAGATAACCACCGTACTAAAGATAGCCATGGATAACGGAAGTCTTAAATTATGTGACTCGTGTGACTACTTTTCTAGCCCTTTACTCGTGGAAAACACCAATGAAATTTAATCATGACTTTTAAGAAAGAAAGCAATTGTTAATAGTGTTGTTATCGAATCGTTCGTATCGTTCATGCCCATACATATCCCGAAGAAAGTTCCAGATTAAGACCATTACGTCATCCGAGATTTCACAACAGCTACGACTGATGGTGCAATAATAGAGTTTGTGTTGATCAAGTGATGTGATGTCTACAGCAACAAAAGAATCATCAATGACTGCTTTGGAATGTTCACCGGGGTGCGACTGTAGTGCAAAGCAAACAGTTAAATTTTAAAAGCGCGGTTATAAGATCTAACAGATCTTCTTGTTTTTTTATATTCCGGAATGTTCCATGTTCCTGGTTTTATTTTGACGCCCGCTAAAATCTTACATTTGATTCTTAGAGGAATACAATCACTTTGAATTTATAGGGTATGCAGAATTGACAGATTTTCGTGAATTTTCGTCAAAAGATTCCAGGGATAATGACACACGAAACTTTGTCAGGAAATTTTAATATTTAACATATTTTTCCCATGGCGTCCATTTATGTTTTTACGCAACATATCTCGCATATTTATAGCTACTCCAACTTTAGATGTGGATACCTAGACAACCAATCAGAGTATCACAAGAGCCTGACACCCTTCTGTTAATTGATACCTTGTGAATAACACTGTGCAGCCATTCGGTTTTTCACGCCTTACTGGCTCCTGAACCTTCCCAAAAAAACATTGCTTAAATTGCATTTTGATCGTAAACTTCGTTTTTTAAGCTTTCTTCATATATATAAGTTGTATAGCACGCATACGAATTTTTTCCAAAGAACACCCCCGAAGATGGAAAGTAACCTTAACCACAGCATACCTGAACACCGTATCAGCAATAATGTAATCACTTACATTCAAGTAAAATAAATGTACTGTTATTTGCCTGTGTTCCTAGGTCTTTTTGAGCTGTTTAGAAGGGATTTGACTAGAAGCGATGGCGGCTAACATTTCAAATACCATCTTGTCTGCTGCTTTGTAAATGTGACACTTCGATAACGTCTCCAGTTTT